TTATACCAATAGTCAGAAAATATAAAACTAGGAAAAACAATACTATACCACTACTTGTTCTAGGCACATGAGCTGTGAGAACCTAGTAATAGGTAATTATGCAACCTCTACATACAGCCTGTTCGTTTCGGCTGAAACGATCAAGGATTATAAGCCAGAAGTACTGCTGGCTGGTTTGGTGTAAAAGAAAAATACTGTTTCAGCTTATAATCCACGATCGTATAAGCCGAATCATTTTCTGTACCATCAAACTCCCATGATGATACCCTCTGGTTCATATGGGTTCCCCTTTTTATTTTTATTATTTGCGTTCGTGATGATGAAATTAACATGCCACTGAATTAGAAATGCATTTCTTCGAGCTTAATGTTCCTTGTGCGTAGATTTGACCTAGCCTATTAATCACAGGTCTATGCCGTCCACTTCAAATGCAACAAGAAGCCGCTGAGGGAATACCCAAACCTGTTCAACTACACCAAGGACATCTACCAGATCGCTGGCATTAGCAGCAGCGTTAACATGGAACACATCAGGAAGCACTACTACGGAAGCCATCCATCTATAAACCCCTACGGGATTATCCCCGCTGGACCCAACATCGACTACAATGCCCCACATGACAGAGAGAGGTTTGTCGCGTGATTGTCGTGATGGACCTTGTATCGTACGTGCTTGTTTCTGCAGGAGCCGTGTGCACTGTTGTGCTTGAGGCCTTGAGGGTCTTGTGCTTGGCAGTGCCAGAGGCTGCAAGTATCCCTAACAAAGTAATAATGCTATATATATATATATATATATATATATATATATTTGTATTGTGTAGCTGACGATGGACCACTTGTCCATTCGAGTCAAGTGATAAGGTTTATATCTCACAAAAAAAATATAAGGCTTGGTGATTTTATATGAAAAAAGCCCCGTTATCCCCGCACTTCATGTAAATTGCACCTTCGACAATTACCTATTAAGCAATTTTGTAGAAAAATCCTCAACGAGACCGCCAGATTTCTCAATATAGCGTACAAACCAAGTTATCTTTCGGAGGTTATTTTTCGGGACTGACTACCCATCTGGTGGAAGATTTTTCAGTTTGTTTTCTTCCACTTTTTTTTACAAATCATAAGTTGCCACGTCACCTTGTACAACAAAAGCACAAAAATAATAATAAAAAACACCTGTACGTCATAAAAATCTGGAAGATTTTCAGGGTAGTTATCATCCACTTCCTGGAAAAGTGATGTGGCAAAATCTCAGCCAAATGATTACACAGATAAAGCAAACTTGATGGAGAAGAAAGAAAAAAAACGGCGCCGTAACAAAAACAAAAAGCGCGACACCGTAGATGGCCGCCGCGTAGCAGATCCTGAAAAGACGATGAGGACCAAAGCAAAAGCAAGGCCAAACTTGAATTTAACACCCAGATCAAAAGCAAAAGAACAAGATGCAACGCAGGTAAACAATCAAGCCAGTCCACCCCAAAGGCACCTTCATCTGAAATTTGTTTTTTTGCATAGATTTGCATCTAATTTTGGTACAAAATTACTAATAGAACAAAAACATTACAATTTTCAAAACACAGGCATCAAGATATGCAGGTTCAATGCATCCAATTGGGTCACCAAGAACAGGGATCCAAACACAGGCATCAACATTACAAAAGCCAGGAGAAAATCATCAAAGCAAGGTAAAAAAAAAATCCCAGCTCAAACATATATACAGATATGCAGATTCACTGAACCCTGGAACACAACCTGATTTAAAATCCCAGCTCGGCCACTTAGTTTAAAAATGTGGTTTCCAATAACCTTTGACCTGGTTATCTGGTATTCATTGTTATTCAATCCAGTAACTGAAGTTGACTTGCATGAAAACCATTTGCTTGATTCAGTTAGCCGTGGGGCTTAAATAGAAAATGAATCAAATAAGCACAACTTGATACTTGGATATAAAATAATAAATACTAAGAAAATGATGCCGCATGCAGCTGCTATTCTACTGATCTCTCTGCATCACAAATTAGACCTGCAGAGTTACAGCAATTTGGGGGGCACATATACTGAAAGTTTACATGACTGAACACTATCAATGTCCAAGCCTTGCTGCTTCCGGCGGTGGTTTACAGCCTAGCTCTACTCATCACAAACGATATTACATTGCATCTCTGTAGTGGACGCCGAACTGTACTGCTTGCTTATATCAAGGGCTGTATAACCGGTGCTACTTGCCGCAAGCTTCTCATTCAAACAAAAAAGTCATACACTGCCCTGTGATCATCTATCCTCCATTTGGCATCTCCTTGTCTTGTATTTTTTAAAAATCATCGTTGCTGAACTTCGTCAGGCTGCACAAATACCTCCACTCTCTAAAGTTCAGAGTTTGCCTGCTTTGCACTAAAAAAATCTGTATGGCTGAACTAAATCAAGTCCACGCACTGCAAGTATCAGGACTGAACAACTCTGCTCCTCAACCACTTTTACAGCGAACCTTGCTTCTCTTTTCGGAAACTTAGTGCAACAGGGCCGGTTCTGTTCTTCAAGATGATCTCTGAACATACTGTCAGCCACTTATCTTTTAGCCCTGCGTTCCTCTAATCTTCTAGTGCAGCATCACAAGCTACTGCCGAACAACAAGGCAAGCTTCTGCCCCTACGCTTTACCTCTTCTAAACTCATCATTATTTCTGGTACTCTAACTTGGCATTTTGCATCAAAATAGAGTGATGAGTAAATTGCACGGCCGGTCAAGTATTGGGCGGGTTTCGTCTAGGTCTCCAAACTACGAAATCGCACGTTTGGTTCTCTAATGTATTTAAGTGATCTCATCCAGGTCCAAAATAGACACGAGGAGGGTTAGAAGCTGACGTGGTCGTCCACGTGGACATGATTTAAGCGTGGACATGATTTAAGCTGACGTGGTCGTCCACGTGACCACGTGGCGGTTGACTAACGTGGCGCATGCTGATTGGTTGGAGTAGTGCCGACTAGGCGGTCCAGTTGACCTGGTTGACTACGGGTCTACGAGTGATTTGGAGCGTCCATCCGGGATCTGAATGGCGCCGGGAGCGTCTTCCTCCTCTGGCTGGTGCCCGGAGGTGGTGGCTCGCCGGACTTTGGCCGGAAATAGCGCTCCGGTGAGCGAAGACCTCCGGCGAGCGGCCAGGGAGGGAGAGGAGCTGATGGCGAAGACGTTGGTGGTGATCTCGACGGCAGGGAGGCGGTGAGGAGGGAGGTCGCAGCAGCGAAGGTGAGCAGCTCGGCCATGGCAGGTGGGAGCTTCGGCGAGGTCGGAAACTTGGGGCTAAAGCTACGGATCGAAATCCAGTCTGGCGGCTATAGCACGTCCTTGAGGTGCCAGATCAGGAAACAGGGAGGAGGACGGAGGTGTGTGTGTGGAGATCGATGAGCTCGATCCGAGCTCGTCCATGGCGGTGGCAGTGATAGGGGCGCTACGGCAAGGGAGAGGACTAGTGAAAGGGCAGGGCGTCTGCAGCGTGATGATGTGGTGCCGAGGCCCTGCTTTTATAGGGGGAGACGAGGAGAAGAGTTGCGTCACAGAGTGTCAGCGTTTCAGTGTCGCGGGAAGAACGGGTCTGGGCGGACCGCCTCAGCGAGCGGTGGTGGAGCGAGGGAAGGGGAGGGGCGTGGTCCTCGTGGCAGGCTCGGGGGAGGGCTCGGTCTCGCGGGGCGGCCTGATCCCGTTCCGGCCTTCCCTGTAGCAAGGGTCGGCCATGGACGAGCTGGAGGAAGACGCTCCCGGCGCCATCAAATCCTGGATGGACGCTCCAAATCACTAGTTGACCCGCGGTCAACCAGGTCAACTGGACCGCCCAGTCAGCACTGCTCCAACCAATCAGCACGCGCCACGTGGACGACCACGTCAGCTTAAATCATGTCTACGCTTAAATCATGTCCACGTGGACGACCACGTCAGCTCCTAACACTCCTCGCGTCTAACTTGGACCTGGATGAGATCACTTGAATACATTAGAGAGCCAAACGTGCGATTTCGTAGTTTGGGGACCCAGATGACACCCCCCAATACTTTGAGGACCGGCCGTGTAATTTACTCTACAGTGATCAAGCATGTACTGCTGCTGCACCTCTGAACTACGTGCGCATAGTTTAACCATGATCAAGCAAGAAATACTGAAACCTACGAAAAATAGCTGAAAATGATTCGGATATACAGATGAAGCAAATCTTAATCTGACAGATCAACATACGACAGACAGAAATTCTAGATACATATATCATTGTTGATTGTTGGGTCAAATTCTAAGGATCAGCTCCTAAAGTTTAGACTACTGAAACCAAAATGGGGAGGCAAATAGGACCAAAAACTCCTCCCTGGGCTCCAAATGCAGGGGTGCGAGGATTCAAGAACCCAGAACTCTGTCTCCCTAGGAGTTGAACCTACAGGAACATGATTGAAAATCTGAACAGTGCTGAATGCACATTGTAATGGGGACAAGATGTTCAGACGCAGGCAATCAGCTTTAACCATGATCTAGCAAGAAATGACCAAATACTGAAAACTACGTAAAAAGTTGAAATTGATTCAATCAAATATACAAATGCAGCAAATCTAACTAAATCTGACAGATCAACATACGACAGACCGTGGGGCTTTAAGGAAAGCAAAACAAACATATTTTTAGATAAATGCAGCTGCAGTTTATCTAAAAAGCTACGGTACAACTAGAATAAGGGGCATCAAATTTGTAAAAAACAAAAGGTCTGTTGACAGAAAAACAATTTAGGTAGCAAAATCATTCCTCGGCAACTATATAAGTACAAAAAACAACAAGAAATTTATCTTCACAAATCCTTGATTTTTCTCTATCTAGTTGGGAGCTGTAGATCCACCAGGTTGATCGACCTACAGCTTTGCTTCAGTAAAATGAAATGCAATCAAGTACCACTTATACTGTTCTAGGTTTCTTGCTTGACTACAACCAAACTCCATCGATTGAACTGGAATCTACGCCTAGAAATCCAAGCTAGCCTATGAAAAGAACATTGTTGCAACAAGAAGAACAAGCGACTTCAACACTGAGTTAGCCGGTGCAGTAGAAGCCACACACTGAAAACAAAAGAAGGGGAGGGACAGTTACAAACTAGTCACCAAATCTCTAGGCCTAATTGTTGGACAGAGTGGGAAACAAAAGAACTAAAGATAATGACAAATAGATGTACTCATACTAGTGCTCATTCAGTGAAACATGGAAACAAAGAGCACAAAACGGACTAAAAGTCATCAACAATGAAAAGGGTAATTCCATATTTCCATCAATGACTAACCTTACGAGTCAAAGGACTAATTGAAGGCTGGCCACTTGAGAATCCAGAGAATGAGTTTGGAAATATCTGGACTGATGAAAATAGGTGCCTGACAGTGAAGTCCACTTTACCAACAAGTCCTGAATTGAAAAAACAGAGATGGGATCAGCCTACTTAGATAAAACACATACCATCACAAGAAAATATCAGATACTTTCTACAATCTGAAAGTTGCAACACTTAATCAGACTCTTTTTTTTCTCCATTAGAGACTGAAAGTAAACTGCAATCTAAAGATACACTCTACATATATTACTAAGAATGAAATTAGATTGAGAGAAACTTATACATTCAAAGAAAATAAAAAAAACTTTTAATGAATATAAAATTAAGATGACATAATGAAACTGAACCGACCAATCAGCATAACATAACGCCTGAAACTGAACAAGACACTCAAAAACGGGCACTGAAACCACAAATAAAAACAATCTGAATCTCCCAAACAAAAATCGTCGTAATTCTCATCCCAATCTCATTTTCCCTATTCTGCCATCCATAATCAACACAACTATGAATCCCTGTAGAAGCACAGACGCACAGCAGGCCAACGTTTGAGCTCTGGATGATCATAAGACAAGCACAGGCCAGATCTTGCCGAGAGCGAGGCAACAGAGTCTCTCGGAGAACCAGGAGCAGCGTCCTGCCGATGAGTGCGGAACAGGACTCCCGGAGAACCAGCACCAGCGTCCTTCAAAACTGAAAATTGAAAAACTACAGTACTGAAATCTGAAACAATGAAGAAAAACTCACGGCAAAAACTCTTCCGGAGCCAAACCAGACTACCGGCAAAATTAAATCAACAGCTGCGCCGCCAAACCACAATCACTGAGCAAGTCCACAAACCAATCGCTGAAAACGACCAAATCCGCCGCAAGACCCCAAACAAAGCCCGCGTCCAAAGCCGAACAAGAACGAAAACGAATGAAGATGAGCAGCTGTGCCGCCCAAACAACAACACAGAACGCTGGATTGCTGCTTGCCAACCTGCCGTCGACGCGTCAAGCAAGCATGGAGCCTACATGCAATGCACTACAGATTCTCAGCGCTTCAACCAGTCAAATAAAAAACCATAATAATAAAACAAGCATGGGCTGTATATATGTATGTATGTACGGAACAAAAGTTTTTCAGAAATTAAAAGTCAGGATACATGCATTTTATGCAGCCCTGCACAAAAGCATGAAGCCTACATGCACAACACTGGAACTAGTGCCGCCAAACATTGACTAATAGGAACATTTAAACTGAAAAAACATAAACTAATATGAACATTTAAACTGAAAAAATCATAAAAAAATACAGTACATAATATCTGAAACAATGAACATTGAAGAAAAACTGAATCTGAAACAATGAACATTGAAGGCCTGCTACATATAACTGAATGGCCAAATTGCAAATCATCTAATGGTCAAACAAAGATTTGTTTGATGGCAAAACTAAATATTTGTTTGATAGACTAACCGAAATCTGAAATTGAACTGGACCTAAAGTAAGACTGAAAATAAATTCTACTGCACTTCAACTGATCTTCAAATGAAAATAGGCAACACTAAAATTAACCTGAACTTGAACAAAACAAAAAAACTGAAAAAAGAATACTATAACTAAACCACAGATCAGAAATTGCTTTCATGCTGGGTAGGCAGGAAACACAACAGACCTGAGGAAAATGAAGGCGTCTCCAGCAACAAGCCTTTTGGAACTAACAAAAACACTCCAACCACTCTAAAGGAGATGCCTCCTAGGTTGCCCTGAAGAAGACAGATTATTAGCACGGATAGAAACCATCAACATCAGCAACAAACAAATCAGGGTATACTGAAACACTGAACCTCGAGCAATAAACTACTACTCTCATTTTTACACTTGGCCCCCAGTCAAATCTAATTCCAATCTAATCCCCACCATGCTGACGCCAGTGCCCGCCGTGCGGCAGTGACTCGCCCCGGCCGCCGTCACGGCCCTCGACGCCGCCGTCGCCTCCGCGCGCCACCGGGCGCACGCGCAGACCACCTCGCTCCACCACATCGCCTCGCTGCTCGCGCCCACAGCCGCGCCACTGCTCCGCGACGTGCTCGCCGCGCTCGCAGCGCCGCCTACTCGCCGCGCAATCGACGCCCACCACGCCCACCGCCATTTGGGGGAGACAGATGCGATAGAGGAGGGAGGGAGAGAAGAAGACTCACCTGCGGGTAGGCGAAGGGCGGCGAGCGAGGGTGACCGCGCCGCGGCAGCGACAGAGACACAACTGCGGCGCGGGGAGGGAGAGCGCGAGAGCAGTCCGTCGAGACGAGCGGAGCAGGGAGGACCGGGCACCTACGACAGCCGGCTGCACGCGGCCGCGGCCGCCGCTGCCGAGGTGTTCGGATACAGGTAAAAAAAAAATTAAAGAATTCATTAATAATTCACTAGACGAATTTATTAAACATAATTAATTTATTATTAGCATTTGTTTAATGTAGCGCCACCTTATCGAATTATGGAGTAATTAGATTGAAAAAATTCGTCTCACAAATTAATCTCAATCTTTATATTTAGTTTCGTAATTAATCTATATTTAATATTTCATGTTGTCAAATATTTGATGGGACAGCGATTTAGGAAGTGAACCTAAACACCCCAACAACACCGAGAACAAAAAAATTGAAATGACGCAGTGGGATAATGTTTTTAGATAGATATACAAAAGCAGCAACGGCACACAGAACAGAAAAGCAAAGGAGAAAAGTTACTGGACTGAGCATGAATCTCAACAAACATCACCACCGTACAAAAGAAACAAAAAAACTGCTGGAAGATATTTAGAAATTCTATATTTTTTGATTCATTCAAATCAAATTAAATAGGGTATGGTCTTTTGGATGTGCTAATAGCGGTATAATTTGCGTACGTGTATTTCTAAGGGTGAGTGTACTAGCATCTCGTGTAATTCGCAGCATGGAGTACATAAAAAATGTACTTTTGCTTTGAAACTTTATTTATTTATCGTTGGGCATATATTTATCTGCTAACTTTTTTAAAAAAAGTAAGTAGGGCAATCAAGAAATCATTTCATTGGGCACGGACGCACACCCTGTGTGCTTTTCGAGGTTTCCCTGCGGGAAGCGGGATTAGATATGAGCGGATGGGCCCCTTGTGCCTTGGCACGCGGCAGGCCGAAACGATCGAGACCGACCGACGTCTCGGACCATTGCCCATAATACATGGGGTCATGGAAGGTGGGCGACCACTGCCAGGGCCCAGGTCCAGCGTTCCAGCGAGATGACTACGCGTAGCCTTTCCGTTAGGAAAAGGACCACTTGAACTCCCTTCAGTTGCTCAAAAAAAAAAAAAAAAAACTTGAACTCCCTTCAACGATCTAGAAAAAGTACTATCTATATGGCTTTGGAAAACTTCCAATGGGATAATTTTTACCGCATCTCTCTACTTTGTATTTAAGCTTTGAATGGATTTTTCTTTTAGAAAAAAAAACTCCCTTCAATGGAAGTCCGATTTATATTTTCTGAGCTCGAAGCCATAATACATATTATATTTTTGGAATCTAGCGTCCGAAGCCCGTCCAAACCACCTACCTCCTTGATCATGTGCTCTTTGTGTATGCGTAGACCTAGGATGATGGTGGCGAACGAGGAAGTTATCATGTCCATCGGTATGTTGCCAACTAAGTCATAGACGTCGGCTTGGCAGTCTCAAAAGCCACTGCCGATGCACGTCATTGTCATGACATCCCTTGGACAAGAAAGTGCCGCTACAAAGTTAAACAATACGATACATGTTGTTATTCTGCAATCAGAACTTGGATTGTATTTTTAATTGGTTTTCTCGTGCTTGTCTTGATGGTTAAGCAACACATTGTTGCTGAGGAACTTTGTAGTTTGCACGATGATTCACACTTCGTTCTGCAAGGATTTGTCCTGGCTTGCATTCTCTATTTTATATTTGGCCCACATTTAGATTTTAGGAGAACATATAAACTTCAAATAATTCTAAACCAGGAACAAAAACTTAGACCATGATTTTATTAAAAAATATATATCTTTTTCGAGTTAAAATAAATTTTCTTTGAATTTCCTAAGGTCAAGTTAGATTTAGTATTTTAAATTGCATACCTATTTTAGAAAAACATTTGGATATTTTTTTTGAAAAAAAATATTTCTATAACTTTTTTTATAAAGTTTAATTCACCTCCTAAGCTATCATAAATGTCTGATTTTTTTATTACTTCTTCATGGTTGACGTGACATCATGTCAGTTAAAACCACTTTCAAAACTATCAAGTAAAGTAAATCGAACCATTTAAAAAAAATTGATTCTGTAGCTTGAAAAGGTTACGACTTTTGTAAAATACCATTGAAAGATTTTAGTCCCATAAAGTAGCACTAAAAGTTGCCACTGTAAAGTAAAAGTATCACTCCGTCAATTTTTACATACAGATTTCGGCCCAGATCGGATCCTAATAATCCGGTGAACTAATCGTCAGGTCAAGAGTACAGTCTACACTCTACAGCAGGGCCAGGAGTTGGGAGTTTGGGGTGGGAGGGCAAGTCGGTCAGAGCAGCCCGGCGAGACACGTGTGGGCGCGGGGCCAATGAGCGGCCGCCACGGCGGCACTCGCCGGTGCCCGATGGTATCCGGGCCGGAATATATTCCGCCGATGCACCCGTCGTCGCGGAGCAGCGCCTTGTTTAGATTGCAAAAAAAAATTAACCCGATGAATAGTATTATTTTCGTCTTATTTGGCAAATATTATCTAATCGTAGATCAACTAGGCTCAAAAAATTCATCTCGTGATTTCCAACTAAACTGTGTAATTAGTTATTTTTTTACCTATATTTAATACTCTATGCAAGCGGCTAAAAATTGATGTGATAGAGAGAGAGTTAAAAAACTTGGAATTTGTATGGCATGTAAACAAGGCACAGGACGGCGTAGGGCCGTCGGTCGGTCACATCATCGGCGTCTGACTTCCAAGGGTGAAGGGATCACACACGAAAAAAAAAACAAATCGCAAACAAGACAAGTCCAGCGCACGCCATGCGATCCACGCTGCTTCCTTGCTTATCGCGACTGTGTATGTATTGTTTTGTAAAGTAACAACCACAAGAAGAATACGAAGATATTGGAGTTTCTCTCTACTCTTCTCCTCTATATAATTAGGGATCACGACCGACCAGCTGCATCGCCAGCGCAAGAATTCCGATCCTCCACACCGCTACCCGCCGCCGCCGCCGCCTCCTCTTCGCTCGAGCACCTGTTGCGGAGCGGATCGGTCGAGGAGGAGGAGCGAGGAGTTGAAGGACATGGCGAGCGCAGCTGGAGGCGGAGCGGCGGGGGAAGGGGAGTGGCTCAAGGTCGCCCAGCTCAGGGCCATGGTGGAAGCGCAGGACCCCGATCCACCCACCCAGTTTTAATTAATAACCTGCTCCTCGCCCGGGTCCATTGCTCGATCGCCTGTTGCAGCCTGTCGTCGTCTCTCTCACCCAGCCTGCAGTGCTGATGCATCATCGTTGGCTCGTTCTTTTCTTGTCTTGCATTGTTCTTCTTCTTCCTCTTCCCGGCTTTGGAACCAGTGTTTCTTTTTCAGCGTTGACATAATACTACTACATTAATACTACTTTTGCCATCGACAAGAACTGGGTTGGATGCACCGAGCTTGATGATGGTCTCGTCGTCGTCGTCCAAGAAGAAATCACCACTACGGGCTTACGGAGTAGAATGTTTTGAATTTACATTACATGATTAGTTTTCCGTGAAACTAATACCAGCGTGATGTCATTATTCTTTTACAGATTTCCCTTCAAATAAAATCCTAATCAATGGCTTTGTTCGCTTGAACTTATCATGTTTTTCTCTCACAACAAATTTGGCTTATGTCGCTGCTTATGCTAATTTATTGTAAGACGTGTGTTCAAACAATAATTCACAGAATGGAACAATTACAGGCATGCACTTGGCAGTGGGCACTTCGCATCCATGGATATAAAATGCTCAACGCGCCAAGCATGGCAGCTATACTATTCTACTCCTACAGAATATTGCAGATTCGCATAGTAAAATAGCCTCAAAGCCGGAGGAGGCATCATGTTGAAAAGGAAAGGTCAATAAGAGACACGGACATGCCAGCCATGCTGTCCATCATGCTTTTTAATTTGCCTCTAAATTAATTAAATATTCAATCCTCTGTCTGATCCATCGATCCCTGTTGGTCAAGTCAAAGGAGGCAAGGTAATGACACTAGTAATTTCTCTAGATTACATTTCCCTTTTTTTGCCAAACAGTAAGATCCATCCATGCACGTGTCACTAGTAATTTCTCTAGATTACATTTCTTCTAGTCGCAAAAAAAAAAAAAGATTACATTTCTTCTCGAAAAAGCCCTTTCAGAAATCGCTGTCATTCAGAAACTGATTGGAGTAATGAAGCTGCCATTTTTTTTTCGCGTCGCGCCACGCGTGCAGGAGGTGGACAACCTGACGCTGCGTCGGTTCCTGCGTGCGCGCGACCACGACGTGGACAAGGCCTCCCCCATGTTCCTCAAGTGGCGGAGGGAGGCGGCGCCCGGCGGCTCCGTGCCGGAGGAGCAGGTGAGGAAGGAGCTGGCGCAGGACAAGGTGTGCATGGGCGGCGTCGACAGGGCCGGCCGCCCCTTCCTCGTCGCCTTCCCCGCCAGGCACTTCTCCGCCGGCCGTGACATGGCGGAGTTCAAGAGTACGTACGCACTTGTGGTCACCATGCTGGACAGCTGCTCCACCCATGGCTCCCTCCTTGGTCCTTTGCTAACATTTGTGACACCAAATAAACCCGGCGTCAACCTGAACCGTACCTGCCTGAGCACAGTTAGCTGTTCTTGTGCAGGTTTTGTTGTCTACTTCTTCGACAAGATCTGTGCCAGGTAATCGTTCATCAGTTCTGAAGTCCATCTAGCTCTAGCTGCAGGTTCTTCTCAGCTTCTGGTTAATTCTGCCACGCACTGCAAAACATCGTCTCTAATTCATCACGGGGACAAATGCAGAATCCCCAGAGGGCAGGAGAAATTCCTCTGCATCGTCGATCTCAAGGGCTGGGGCTACTCAAACTGGGACATCCGGGCATACATTGCGGCTATAGAGATCATGCAGGTATGTTCATCCATCAGTTATACTATTTCCGGCTTTCCGCCTTCAGTAAATGTATGTAAAACCACACAAAAGTTTCCTTTCCTTTGGCACAACACAAAATTCGTTCTCTGATTCTCCTGTGCCTCGTGCAGAACTACTACCCGGAGCGGCTCGGCAAGGCGCTGATGATCCACGTGCCCTACATCTTCATGAAGGCGTGGAAGATGATCTACCCCTTCATCGACACCAACACCAGGGACAAGGTGATGTTCCCCCCATGTCGATCTCGGTCTCCGAACCCCAGCTGCTGCCACTGCTGCTGTACGCATTGCACTAGGAGATGATATTGATATGAACTGCTAGTGCTAGTAGCGTAGATTGACCGATCACTACTTCATCCTCGATCGATCGTCTCCTGACTGACTGTTTTGCGCGATGCGGTTTAATTATTCGCAGTTCGTGGTCGTGGAGGACAAGAGCCTGCAGGAGACGCTGCGGCGGGAGATTGACGAGAACCAGCTCCCGGAGTTCCTCGGCGGGAAGATGGACGTGATCCCTCTCAAGGACTATGGCGTGCAGGTGCAGCATCCTCAGGCCGTGTGACCGTACGCGTTGGTGGTTAGCTAGGAACACAGCATGTCCATGACCATGTTGTTATATATGACAGAGATGTATCTGTTGCTTCCACAGTAACTGTGTAGCTGCTGTAAAACAAAGCTCTGTCTGCTTGCGTACGTTGTTTAACGAGCTGCTGCTGTTGCCCGGGTCAATTGATGCAGACCAAGATCTGGGTTACTATGTAAACATGAACAGGAAGGCACCTACCAAGCCCAACACGACTGTTCTCTCCCGTTTCCGTTATCCTTTTCAGTCCAGTGAAGTCAGTCTGAACTCTGAAGCAGCTTTTGGGCAAAAAAAAAAAAAAAAAAAAGGTTTCCTTCCTGTATAAATCTGCAGACATATTGGAAGAGTAACCATTACCAGCGTCCTGGCCGTCCTAGCTCAGTGGTAGAGCGCGTGGCTTTTAACCACGTGGTCGTGGGTTCGATCCCCACGGACGGCGCCTTCGTTTTTTATTTTTTTGCCTTTTGTACACTCTCTTCCAAAGTTTCAACTCTCAAGCAGGCTGTAATTTTTTACAGACGTGAATTTACGGCTTGTAACTAGCCATCAACAACATGACATTATGTCACTAACTCAAGACTGTAATTTTTTTTATAAAAAAAAGAACAAATCAAGACTGTAACATATTTAGCGCTTTGCTAGTCCTGAGAACATTGTACAGCGGGAAAAGAACATTTCTTGTGTTATAAAAAAACATTGTTTCTCAATCCTAGAAAGCTTGGCGGCTGCAGATCTAAAGACATGTACAGAGTGTTGAAGACATTACCATTAAGGGTTCAGCAAGAAGGTAGAACCAGGGTTACTCCTCCTTAGTTCTTGTCCATAATCCCAAAGTAAACTATACTGCTCAGCTTCATCGCCCGCATTTGTCGCAGGTAATCAGTGGGAGACCTCCTCCTTCACTTGGAGCTGCAGCCGCCAAGCTTGAATCGATGGGCGTGGCCATCCGAACTGGACCCCGAGGTCCAGCGTCGCCCTGCACCTGTCTTCACCACCACCGGCTTCCGCGTCGCCGTCGATCCTCAGAGGCCACGGGCTCCTTCCTCCGCTCACCTCCTTCTCTCCCAGACGGCGCGCTCGAGAAATTGGGCATGGAGGGGAATGAGAGGGAGAGACACAGCCAGGGGGTGAAGTGTGAAAAATACCCCCACTCATTGCGGGCAAGGTGCGTGGGTAGCCACCATGGATAGCCAAGTAGGCTCCAAATCTGCTTCTCAACCAGGATAGACTCACGGTGGACTATAGAAAGATTAGAGACCTAAAACTACACTTTGGGAGGTGATGGACCTAGATGACACGGAGACAAAAGGCAATGGACCCGTGGTGCATTTTGCTCTAGAAATAATATTCATTAAGATGGTAGGTAGTCGACCAAAAGAACATTATGGGTGTGCTTGGTTTTCTGGCTTAGTTGTAGCCTGGCTCTAGCAAGTCAACTTGGGGCTGTTTGGTTGTCATGTAAGCCTGGCTTGCTCCATAACGTGTTTGGTTGCTTGATTTATTTTAATACAGTCACCTCTTCTCCGAATAGATAAGTTCACCCTATTTGATAGATTTTGTCGAACATGTGGTGGAAAGGGTAAGACTGTCTCCAACGACAAGTACACAAACCGAGACCCATTCATCGATTTAGGTCACGCACAGTAGCCAGAGTCCGGCACCGAGAACTGGTCTCCTCCAACAACATATGCAAAAGTAGAGCACGTTGGCCTTCACGAGCACGCTGACCTCCGCCGGCCTTCTTCTCCAGCTCGCAGGAGCCCAAATCGAGCCTCCCCGGCACCCGAATCGAGCTTCCCCGCCTCTGAATCGACTTTCCCCACCGCCGAATCGAGCTTTCCCGTCCCCAAATCGAGCTCTTCTCCACCACTCGCGCCGGCCGCCAGGTGCCTTCCATGGCGGATAGTGGGGGCAGTGGCGGCGCTCGACGCGGGAAGGAAGAAGAGGAGTCTCTGGCAGGCGGGCACAGTGGCCGGGCTCTGGCGGGCGGGTGCAAGAGCGGGGCGGCGCTCCAGACGCGGGGCGAGGCGATGCTCCAAGCTCCGGGTGCGGCCGGGCGGGCGAGCGGCGCTCCAGGCTACGGGCGCGGGCGGGCGGGCGTGCTCCGCCCCCAACTCCAGCGCGCGGCCATCAGGGGCGAGCACGCGGCCGAGATCCGACCCGCCACCTGCGCGCTACCGAGCGATGGGAGGAAGGGGAGGCGCGGCCGGGCGAGCGGGCGGCTTTTGCGTAGCGAGGAGAGAGGGGACGTTTTTTTGCGTTTCCTTTGCGCCGGTATCCAAAATGCGTCGTATGAATGGGTGATCCGTTGGAGCCGGTAATCTGATAGGCAAGCACTGTGCGAGACTTATATTTGGGTTTGGGTAGCTTTGTTGGAGTCGGTCTAAGCAAGCCAAGAATAGCAGCACCATGGGCACGGCAGAGCGCTGCTCGAGTCGCGGCTCCGCAACCTCGGTGAGGTGGGCGACGAGTGACACCACCACCTTCTTGCTCAGCGCCGTGTAGAGAGCAGAACAAGGGATCCCGAGGAACCCGGCGTCAAGTCGTTGAGAGAAGGGAGCATCATCAAGTCCAATGCGGCACCTCGTCAAGTCGTGAAGGCTAGGACTAGGACACCGCCGGGCTATCCGTGTCAAGTACCTCGGCCCCTTCTCCGGCGAGCCCATGAGCTGGAGATCATCCACTCCTCGCTGGGGCATGCTCGGCGCGCTGTGCTGCGTCTTCCCTGAGCTGCTCCCCCGCAACGGCGTCCAGTTCGGCGAGGCCGTCTAGTTGAAGGTCGGCTCCCAGATCTTCAGCGAGGGCGGCCTGAACTACTGTAGCAGTGCGTCGAACTCCGCCTGGTTGAGCTGCTTGTTGATCTCGGTGTTGAAGAGGCGCTCCATCTCGTCGAAGTCGGTGGTGTAGAACCGGGGGCGTGAGCATCGTCTCCTGGATCTCCGTCTTGCCCCGCTTCTTGGGGCCCGAGAACTTGAGCAGCGCGGCGGCCGCGATGGAGGCAGACACACAGCAGCGGACCATGGAGCGCCCCGCGAGGGGTATGACGGCGGCGAGGCCCCCGAAGTGGCGGTGCGTCGCGGCAGGGTTGAGGAGCAAGAGCTCCATGGCGGAGGAGGCCACTGGTGGCGATGGGCTGGACAGGCGGTGGCGAGGACTGTGCAGTAGTGGGAGCGACCGCTGCAAGAAGCAGGGACGAGCGAGGACGTCCGCGGCCCACCGCCTGCCGAAGGGGCACCGGAGGGATGGGAGACAGACACGGACGGAAGACACGCTGAGGGAGGTGACAGGAACAGGACTCGCACCTGGATAAGCCTGGCTCCAGGAGAACGACGCGTTCTTTCCTGGCCTGGCTAGGAGCGTACAGTTGGCTCTTCGAAGCCAGGCCCCAGCCCATGTACAAGTAAAGCCTGGTTTAGGTGGGTGAAATTTGAAAATTTGATTATTGTAGCATTTTCGTTTTTATTTGTTAATTAGTGTTCAATCATGGACTAATTAGGCTCAAAACGTTCGTCTCGCGATTTCCCACCAAACTGTGCAATTATTTTTCTTTTCCATCTACATTTAATGCTCCATGTACGTATCGTAAGATTCGATGTAATGACTACTGTAGCACTTTTTGGGAAAACTTTTTTAAACTAAACGTGGCCTAACCAAACAAGCCTAACATGACTTCGGTGAACCAGGTCAGAGGTTGGCCACCGAATCTATTAGCCCAGGCAACTTCGTGCAGGCACCAGGCTCTTGATTTTGATGGCCTGGCGGAGGATCTACTTGCCAGGCAGCAGCTAAACCAGGACACGAACCAAACATGGCACAGGCTCCAAACTAAACAAGCCCGGCGTGCGTGATGAGTTCGGCAATGGAACGACGCGCGGCCACGGGCAGATGGAAGAGCACGGGAGCCACCGACGCAGCGTACTACATGAAGACGCCGAGCACCAGATGGAAGGCAAACGCCGGGATCTGCTCCCTGCTTTCTGCTCCGGTCCCCTGCTCACGGGCAGCGAGGCCAGGCATCGCCTGAGCCCCCGCACTGCGCCTGCCTCCTCCGCGGCTCCGCGCCCGGCCACCCCCGCCAGGAGATGAGAGTACGAGGGAGCGCGCGCGTAGACCAAACCAGCATCTAGAGTCTGTTCGCTTGAACTTATCAGCTAGAATCTATAGTATTTTTTTCTCACAACAAAACAGCTTCAGCCGGCTTTAATACCAGCCAAACAGAGACGGAGCCAGCAAACAAATACAGCCGGCTTGAGCTTGTCCGAGCAGGTGTGAACAAAGCTGAGCAGTCAGACTCATGGTCCGACCACCATAATGAGTCACCGAGCAGTTGTGAACCATCGCCGAGCAGTTGTGAACCATCGCCGAGCAGTGTATCCCAAGTAAGGCTTGCCATAAGGATGTAAGGGGCTCAAGATAAAATTTAAAAATTCTTCCACTTAGGAGAAGTGTAGCCACTTAGACTCCGTCAATAAGGAGGGTAAATCAAGAAATAAGCACTATATTCACCGCCAGGTGAAGTATAGTCACTTAGTCCCCGAGCCTACTGGAAGATGAAGAATGAATCTTATAGTAGGGTCAAAGAAAAGTCTGAAAGCTTGCCGACGTCATCTGACATGCGAGTATCAAGACCCCAGACATGCTGCTCAAGATCAGCATCCTGATCCGAACAGCATGGAGCAGCTTGATAGCACACCGATGAGACATAGCAAGATCCGACCACCAAGGGAGTCCTCAGCTTAGCTGGCGATGCTTGCACAAAGAATCTGAACACTGAGGAGTCCCCAGCATAGCTAACGATGTCCGAGCACCGAGGAGTCCCCGGCGTAGCTGGCGATGTCCGAGCACCGAGGAATCCCCGATGTAGCTGGCGATGATCGAGCACCGATGAGTCCTTGGCGTAGCTGGTGATGTCCGAGCACCGAGGAGTCCTCGGCGTAGCTGGCGATGTCCGAGCACCGAGGAGTCCTCACGTAGCTAGC